CGCTTATGATTTAAAAAAATGTGTTTTAACTATAAGAAATTTTATAATTTTTAATGTAAAACACGAAATTCATTTTTTCTGAAGTTGCCAAATCATCATTTATGTTTGTGTTTAGATGACTTCAATAACTTGGAAAATTTAAATAATAAATATTTTTTTATTAGGTAACGTTTAATAGGTACCTACTTATTCTAACTTCTATTCAACTTTTAGGATGTGTATCGTAATATTAATTAATATTAACAATACAGCTAGAGAGGTACCTACGATCGATCTTATATAGCTGGATACTAAACTTTCCGTTTGTAATTAGTTCAACGTAGGTAATTTTAAAATTAAACTTTATTTACAAGGTATGGTGATTTAAACATAATATTATATCCGTGACCATGCGTTACCTACAGTCTACAATACGTTAACAGAAATGATTCATTTTATTTATGATTTAACTTCAAATAACTGAACAGTTGAAAATAATTGTTTCAATACCTATATTATATAGTATCATGTTTTATGTTGGCGTGCGAAGTATTCTGTACACATAGTAAACTAATATAATAGTATTGTCGTCCTGTGTAAGGTATATAACTATACTAATATATTTTATATAGACCTACATTAATGCATAACAATAGTAAGTATACAACAGTTTCTTTCACAGGTCACTATACTTACTATCTACTATATTACATAATAATGTATAGTGTATACTATATACTATATTATTATATATTATACCAAGTTGGTACTACCGAAAATATACAGAGTGATTTTTTTTTATCATAAACAAGAAATAATATAGGATATCGAAAACAAAAAATTGGAAATTTTGTTTTAAACCTTTTAAACCAATATTCTATCTTACATTTTTTGGGGGATTGTCAATATATTATTATATTTGTTATTAGAAATTTAAAAAAAATCTTTCGAAAATTAGTTCCAGTTTCTAAAATATTATTCCTAGGTGGTTTGCGATAAATAAACCACCTTGTACTTACTATAGAAAATGGTCGAAATAATTGGGGCGGAACTTAGAAATCACTTGAATGTATAGAACATCTATACATAGATATATATAACTATATCGTATATATACTTACACGAATACGATTCTATACATAATAATTATTTTACGCGATTGATTACGATAATACTATATTATTCTCGACTATGCTGTCACATACAATGTTTGTATACTTTATTGCGAGGTATATACAAATACACGCGTTTCCATAGTCTCCACGACTTAGCAACTTGCAAAAGTACAAACACCGCGGTCTCTTTGTACTTTTACGCGATCACGCGGATACGGGAAAATAATATTCATAATATTGTTCAAGTATAATAATATCTACAATACAAGTTGACCAGCGAAAGACGCCCATAACGATCGGTGCTGCAGTGCGCCCGTTGTCCTCTCATTGCGGCAGTCGTTTAAAATAAAACTAACTGTTTCTATAAAAGAAATCGCTCTCCCTACTGCAATATTATATTATATGATAAAGTCTCTTTTCGCAGAGAATTTGACGTCGTCGTCGGGGTTAACAATAATATTATATATGGTGGGCGTAAGTAAATAATACTCGGGTATATTATAACTGTACGAGACCTAACCTAACCTAAATAGTACACACATTTGAGACACAGCACGCGTCGTTATATTACCTACGTGTTGCGGTAAGGCACAAAGGCATTTTGAACAATCTCGGGGCACGCGAGGGTGACCGTATTTTAAATTATTATTATAATAATATTATTGAATCCCGCGACAGTTATTAGACTGTGATCTGCACAAGTGTTTTTCCTCCAACCCAAAACAAAACAACATGACGGCGGAGGACTCGAAAAAATATTGTTTCAGTTTCATCGACCTACGCTGTGGTACAAAAATCATAGCTATATTGAACATAGTAAGTACATAATATACATAATATAGGACAATTTATAGGTAATAATATAATATGTATTGATATAATAATAATTTTATAGTTTGATGTACGAGCCGTTTCGCTGTTCACTGTACAGAAATAATTCGGAGTTTGAAAGCTCTTAAGTTAACTATATCGTTAAGGGGGCTGCAACACAAGTATTTTTCATAAGCTTTAGACCAATAAGTGGTGGTAAATTACACATACTTCGGAATGTCCGATTTAAATTTTTTATACTTGTGTGAATTCATTGATAAAATATCTAGGTTTCTTTGGAAGTCGATTTTTAATTTTCAATTTAAAATGACCTTAAAATAACTATTTTTTTTTAGAAATCCCATGAAATAATTGCATTACATTTGTATTTATTTTGGGCACATCTGATTTTAAATAAAAAAAAGTGATTCCTAAGAAGCATAGTCTAGAAGTTTAAATTCAACAATTTTTCCGAAATTACAATCGAACTTCGGGAAGTATGATTAATTTACTACCGCTTTTAGTAGTTTTATAGTCATGCAAACAAGAATATATTATTTAATTTTTTGCGATGAATCGATGTGCGTGAGCGTGTGAGAGTTACTTCCGACGCGGTGTGCTCGATGTGCCACGATTCTCGGAAACGATAACGGATTACGCACACTAATGTTCATTTACTACTCACACACAGATACAGTATTAATTTATTTGTCACATGAATTGGTTAAATAGTACTCCTTAAAATATACGCAATAATGCGTCTAATGTAATAATAATATATAATGGCTAAACGAATATTATTATTATTTTTAACGATTATCGATAACTTAAGCCTACATTTATTTATGGTGAACTGGCGTACCGCTCACGGGTTTAGCAGTGCATAAATAACAAATTGCATAATATACGGTTAAGTCTGAAGCCAAAGGTGGTTAGATAGCATATTAAGATAATTGCACTATTGTAGTATAATACGTCTTGCATACCTCTTGTATGAAACCTACTATTTTTAATTATTATTAAGTACTGGATGGATCTAAGAATGAAAAAGTCCAAAAGGGGGTAATAGGGTAGACACCTAAATAGTAAATAATTATAAACAGGCTAGGAAAGCTCACTTTGCTAGCGTGCTAAATTCTCTGCTTCTAAACTTAGCCACGACGTCAAGTAGACAACGCAATACAACGGAACAAACTATAATGTCATGTACAAATTAAAAACAGTTTGGTAACCTTTATATTTTGGTACTAATGTTTTTAATATTTTCTAGTATTATGAATCTATATTAAATACTTAAATGTTGATATTATTTTAGATTGTGAGCGGAAAGAGGGAGCTAGTGGTTTTACAATGGTGTTTATTTATTTTTTTTTTAATATTGGCAATCCAACTTGTTTTTTTTTAATTTTTTTTTTTAAATCATAATATAAAAAGCGGGTAAGTGGATGTCGCTCTGCTGTACAGTAGGTTACAAGTGGGTCATTGTATAATGGATTGTATAAAACTTGAATTCAATGATATTCTATCATTGTATAAGAAAAACGATTCTGATCGGAGACGGTTTGTCAGTTTAGATATTTTATATTGTCATTAATAAATTATTATATCATGTAAGTTGAATTAATATTATAATATTATAATTTTTTATTCGTTTATTTTTTATTAAACAAAGCGTTAGAAACTAAAATCCAATTTTTAGCGGTTTTTCTTAATTTTTCTGTGGTTTTCACCGTGACATTAAATAACTATTGATAAAATAGAAAAATTACCTTTCTAAAGTACCATCTTGATCCAATTTGCTAAAATATAAGGTACTATATTATGTTGAAATCGAAGAACTCCTTCTGGTAGAAATTTTGTATTCAGGATAATATATATATAAAAAAAATAAACACCATTGTAAAACCACTAGATTCTTCGCTCAGCTCAGAATCTAAAATTGTTTTAAATAATAGTTTAGGTATATAGGCAATTCAATAATATATATATTATTTATTTATTATTTATATAAAAATAATAAATACACCTAATATATACCATCATATTATTCTAATAATAGCAGATAAACGATTAGTGTAGGAACTTACATAATATGTTATATCATTTTTCGTGGTGTAGAAACTAAAAAAAATTCGATTTTTTTTTGGCTTCTAGGCCTCGTGTAGGAACTTACATTCGCTCAAATTAAAAATATCCATTAAGCTTTCTTTCACTTATCCTTTTTGTAAAATAATTGTTCTAATATAATATTAAAATACTAAAATAAACACTGTAAATGGGGGAGGGGCTATAGCCCCCTTAACCCCCCTTCAACGTCTCTGTTCGTGGTTTTAAAAAGTGAAAAACTATACAACATATTATACATTATTAATCTAGATAGTAGGAGGTACCTACTATCTATCGGCTACCATTAAAATGTAAAAGACTATAAATAGTACACATTTACAAGATAGAATCTTTGAAATAGTATCTTTGGGAGAGCTTATTCCTAATGCCTATACCCCTCCCTCTATCTACCCCATATCTTGTCATCGCCTCACAGTTCACAGTGACATGGATTTCTAAACTTTCTTTATGGACATTGCACATATTTTGAACATAGCGTGTAAAATGTCGGTGACCATATATTATAGGAATCGTACAATTAGTGCCTTAATACTAAAAAATTGGAAAGAGCACTTCATAATTTTTTTTTAACACATCGACATACATTCCAAATGTAAATTAATAACTATGTTATGGATATCTACAAGAATACAATCATATAATATTTTCAAGTGCACAGTGTACATCACATATCTAAATACATATTATTACTAAACACAGTAAATAACACTAAATAGGTAATGTACACACAAATATTTTTAATTTTATTACACTAATATGATGACCACGAACATGATAAATTATATACGCAAATTTTACCATGCCTCTATAAAAATTTAGGTCGAGCCCAGCTTCGATATAATATTATATCCCGAGCTCAAATGTTGTACAGCATTATACCTATTATTGTCTATATTTGATTGATATCTTATTTTATTATTTCAGGTTGTTTTGTTCTTAGCCATCGTATTGAATATAATATTTTTGGCAATGGTACTCGGAATTAAGGCTGGTTTATTACCCTCGAGTAAGTATACCTATTTATTTTTACACCTATATTTTAATGTTGTATATGTACTTGTATGTATTTTTATCTCTTGATTTTATCAAAACTATTTTTATTTAAAAAAGTGTCCGAATTTATTTTCGAATTTCTGCAGTGTACCTATGTGTCTTTAAATTGATCATAGTCGACTATCGAATAAATTATTAAAATTAAAATATAGGTTGATACTTATTATATACCATACACAATTTAATATAATTTTTTAATAAGAAGAACTTTGATAAAATAATAATATAAATCATAGATGTATGTAAGCATTATTTAGTTCCGGCTGACAAAAATAAAATAAAAATAAATTTTATTCTGATATTTTAACAGTCAAAATCTTTCAACAAGAAAATAATATTCGTTGGATTAATATAATTATTAATTTCATAATTTTCGTAATTTATTACTTATAATGATGCGTACCTGCCTACCTAGGTAATGAAGCCGAAGAAACCACAACCAATAGAATAAACACTATACATGGTTTATGTGCTTCGTCATTTATGGAAATTATTCTTCTTTACTTTAACCTTCGTCTGAAGAAATCAATACATGACGTGAGTTGAAAATACCGATGTAATAATGTGAATAAAACAATATTAAAAATGTCAATTAGAACACATTTATGATTTTTCAATAAAATTAAAATCAATAGGTGCTAGACCAATTAAAAATAATTAGTTTGTAACGAGTACTCGTAATAAATATAATTGTTATGTAAAGATGCTTCCTAATAATTGAATTTTCAAAAAGTTACATCAAATTGTGTGCAGTAGTTTTTACAAATCCCTAACTTGTGCTGTAACATTGACAAAATATTACCTATGTAATTTTTAAATAATAGACAATGATTTAAGAATACATAATATTATATGGAGCCATGGAGAAACTCATATTTTATTTTAAAACCACTTATTATTAAATAAAATTATAACTTACAAGCCATATTGATATTAATTAATACAATGATAATAATATGGTCATATGGACCTTATATATATTATGAACTTATACTACCTATACGAAAATCGTTGTACCTAACTTATCGTGAAAACTTAAATTTTCTTTTCAGCAAAATGTTCAAAACATCAAGCATTGGTTAGTGATGTATTTAATGGTTTTAATACATATATTCATTTACTACATTAGTGCGGCCTCTGTATCTGATCGACCATTGTTTTTCTTGGCCATTGGACTTATCTCAAGTCGTATGTATCAAAATTCGGTGGTTTTTCAGGAAACCATTAACCGAATCGTCTCATATATTATTACTGATTATTTCAGTGATCGTTTTATTAATGATGTACGTTGTAAAACGTTTTTACCACAATGAACTCGAAAACTTGGCCCCCAGCAATACTACAGACGACAATAATGTGACTCCCTCACAGTCCGCATAAATATGCAGAAAGATCACAGATCGACAATGGAACCGAAAACTGGATTCCAGATGCAGTTGGACGCTGTACATGCTCTGCTAGACAAGCACAAAATCTAATATTATTGCTTGTTATGACAAATGTCACTTAATATTTTTAGCCAATAAACCATAGTTAAATAGTTTATTTATCATATTATCAACGCAACTATTTTAATTGGTGGTATTAAATAAATAAATTGTTAAAATACAGATACAGACGGCAGTTCATCACATTTTCTTCGTTTTTACAAAATGTTGATTAAGACTATTATAATACTTATAATAGGGGGACAGAGTGTTCGAGCGGTCTAAAGAGTCAGCTGCGACGCAGCCGACGCTGGCTCAATACCTCGGTCACGGGCGGCATTTTTCTTCGGGCAAGTCACGTTGTCCGAAGAACAAGTGCCGCCATCCCCCACCAGGACATGGCAGATACCTACGGGTGCCAACAATCAAAAATTCTGCCAAGCCCAACACACACACACACACACACACACACACTTGTTCATCCCGCCTACCGACATACAAACCTACAAAACCATACAGCTAATGGTCATAGTGACGCGGCCCGCGTTAGTAGCAAGTACAATGTACAAGCACTATAGCGACCAGTCTATCTTATCTCCAACCACCACCACGGGATGCAAGCAGCGCGACCGGGTTGACTCTCCCACCGAGCCGGTAACGGCAAGGTGGGACGGGGGGACTGTGTCGCGTAAAACGTACAACGGTCGGCGGAAAAGTCAATTCGAGATCCACCATCGGACCGTCGGACCGATAACATATCGTCCGACGTTAAACTCATCTGCCCGAGCGGCACGTCATGTATTGTTATATTTTGGTCGCAATATTATAATACATAATTTGTGACATTCGTAAAGTGTTTGTGTTGTGTTTATTTCATCACCTCAATCCTAACCAAATACTTCGACCGGACCACGATCAACCTTGAAGCAATCATCGTGTCCGCGTCAAATGGCTCCCCGCAGAGGAATTAGTCCGGTCAGCGAAAAGGTAAGAGTTTTTCACGTTGACACATACCTCGGATTATTTGCTTATATCATTTAGTATTGAGATATTTAACCAGGAGTGTGTTTTTTCCGGTTAGCTAGGATTTCCAATCTACCCAAGTTAGGATTACGTAATAGGTATTAACCATTAGGTATAACTCTGCTACGTAGGGGAAATCCGCGCGATCGAAAATAACCGTGATACGGAATGGGAAGCAGTTACATAACGTATTGCCACCCTTCCCGGCGCTCACCTTTCGTCCGCGACTTTATTGCCGATAACAGCGCAGCGCGCAGACCGCGACGTCAAAACCAGTCGTCGTCACCGCCGCCGCCGCCGCCGATTCCGTGACCTAGTTTCGCTATATTTGGAACACATCGGCGGCCGTCAACAGCTGACCATTGTTTACGTCGGCGTAAATTATTTGATAATAGTCGTTCAATACTCGCGTATTCACGCATGTACACCCACACACCACCGATTTTGGAAGACACTGACGCTAGCGATTGGTATAGGCCACCGTCCGGGGACAACATTGCTAGCTTTAGGGCTATGTAAATATCCACGGACGGCCAGCCGGTACACAACAGTCCAAGCTCCAGTCGACCACAAATCAGGCAGGGACCGCGCACGTATAAAACGACAAACTTTTCAAAGCCGCCTCGGAATCAAAAAAAAAAAAAAAAAAAATATCGACGTAATCGTTACACCAATCGACCGAAACGAAAACGTTCGAGTCACGTTGGCTGGCGCTGTAAGCTAGCATGGCGAAGTTCTTCACGGAACAGCCAACAGCGTACAGCAGCCACACAATTTTGAGATCCCGTGGCCTATCAACCACCCGTCACCCGTACACGTTACCACTCGCACACACGATGGTTACCAGTCGGGTAGGTCGTTCGAGTAGGTACAACGTAGTCAGCGCCCAGCCGGGTGTCAGTTACATTGCCACCTTAAATGAACGACCTTTTTCAACGACCACTCTGGTCAAACGGGAAGCGCGTCGCGCTACCCGTCATACGCCGCACGCGCGCAGGTACGATCGGTGTTAATACCGAGTTCTACGCGGAACAAGGGCCGAGCACCCTGTCCGGTTTTTAGCCAACACCGAGTCGTTACTCACGCAAGCGCGTAGACACTAAAACGTCCACACAATCACTTACGGAATTTGTGCTGATTTAAAACCAGCTCGCGCCCCGCACGTTAATACTGGCCTATCCGAATCGGAGTAGGTAGGTGTTATCGTCCGGCGAACGCGCGACACTTTCCGTAGGTACACATATCCGGCTACATATAACATTTACGTTCAGCGTGCTTCGACGCATAGCAGGCGTTTTGACTTCGTGTCGGATAATATCTCCACCCACGACCCACCTCTCGTCACCCATCATACCATATTTTCGGTAGTACGGACGGAGAAAAATTATGCCATCATCGCGCACGTAGTTCGGTAATTCGTAACGACGAAAAACCAACTACGAATTTTTCCGTCAACACACCACCTATCGGCACCCACTCTTAAATCCCAAACCTACACCACCCCACCACCCACCACACTCACCTCACCGGTGACACGTGTGGTCAACATCAACGGCTTATGGGGCAGCCGCAGGTGTAGGGACAAAGGTAACAGAGCCACGGGTGTTCACCTGCAAAGGTGATGGGGGCGCAAGCACACCAACTTCGCACACCCCCGCATTATAGGTCATTCTGTATACGTAAAGCATCAGGCGAGCACCGAGACAACCGACAGGGACAGTTTGGTCATGGCGGTCAACACCGACCACCAATCAGTCTCTGTCGCGGTTCAGAACCAGTTGCCCCGCTCGACCGATTGCAATACGTCTAATAACGTCACACGAACACGCCCGGACAAAATTCCGACCCACCGAGGTCGAACACGAATTTCCGTCAGGCTTCGTAACGGCGCTATTAGATCCACAGACCCAAATCGTACGTAAACCCGACCCATAGCCTGTAAATACGGCAAACCCCTCCACGGACCAACAAACACGGTCCGGATGGCAGACGGACACATGCAACAAACAGAGCAGTGCCACATGGATAACCAACGTCACGTCGCAGCCATACCAACGACAACGAGGCACCAAAGCACGAGGTCAACAACCAACACCACCTACCAGAGAGGGACTAGGAGGGTGTCAGCAAGGCAAGCTTACTTCAAGTCACATGGCAAGGGGTACCGCGAGCTGAACCACTTATCCACCGACAACAGTACGCTGTGGCACCCCGTATGGTGGTTTGGGGGGGGAGTATGACGCGGCCCGCGTTAGTAGCAAGTACAATGTACAAGCACTATAGCGACCAGTCTATCTTATCTCCAACCACCACCACGGGATGCAAGCAGCGCGACCGGGTTGACTCTCCCACCGAGCCGGTAACGGCAAGGTGGGACGGGGGGACTGTGTCGCGTAAAACGTACAACGGTCGGCGGAAAAGTCAATTCGAGATCCACCATCGGACCGTCGGACCGATAACATATCGTCCGACGTTAAACTCATCTGCCCGAGCGGCACGTCATGTATTGTTATATTTTGGTCGCAATATTATAATACATAATTTGTGACATTCGTAAAGTGTTTGTGTTGTGTTTATTTCATCACCTCAATCCTAACCAAACACTTCGACCGGACCACGATCAACCTTGAAGCAATCATCGTGTCCGCGTCAATAGTCGTCGGGCTTAAGATCAACTAAAAAAAAAAAAAAAATACTTATAATAAGTAGGTATATAAATAACAATAATTAACTATGAACATGAGGAATACATTCATCCCGACTTGGGTAAAATACTTTTTAAAAGTATTTCAAATACATTTTCCGAATATTTAAAAAAAAGTATTCAGAACATGATTTCGAATACTTTATGATAATAATATTCCTAAGTATTTGGAATACTTCACAGAAAGTATTCCAAATATTTTCCGAATACTTTTTTTTAGTAGATTTAGATTTTAATATCAAAAATATTATTTTTTCAATTCTATGTTTATAAATGAATATTATTATAATCTCGATAGTACACACATATCTGGCTATCTATTAGTTATAAATTATATTCAAATGAATATAGTTAATAAGTAATAATTAGTAATATATTAGATTAGAGTATACCTATATAAGAAAATAAGTATTCCAAATACTGTACTCAGAATACTCGTAAAAAGTATACAAAATACCGTATTGAATACTATCAAAAAAAAGTATTTAAAAAGTATTCCGAATACTGTATTGGGAATGGGTAGTATTCATCATACAATATACTAATATCTTAGACCGTAGTAGGTATATAATATTTATAGGTACATGATATATAATAATTATCTTTAATTATTTAAACAAAGCTACTATGCTGTTTAATGATAATTAATATTGCCATTTTCCATAGGTTATTTGATCATGCATAATAATTTTTTTTTATTTAAGATTTATTTTACAAAAACATTTGTTTTTTTTTTGTTTTTTCCTTGTACAATATGTAAATCCATGTAGGTACAATACATAGACGCGTCATTAAAGAAAGTGAATAAAATAATAAAATAATAATAATATTAACAAGTTAGGAAAGCCCTGCGACCTGCACTCAGGAAGAGTGATAAATTCCCGGTTTCTAAACGTCAAATTATTTATTCTCATTTGATTCAAAGTTAATAATTGTAATATATAGGTAATAATAATGTTACGAATAATATTATTGTTCTCATATTGTTAACCACGTCAACAATCTCAACTAGGTAGTTACAAGTAACATACTACGGATGGATATAAAATGAGTATCTAAACTTAGGTTTAAAAACTGAAACTATTATATAAAAACTAGACTAGAAACTTTCATTCCGCCAAAAACAGTCATGACTTTATTTTCCAACAAAAGTTTGGACTGCTCTATATTATTTAAATTGATTGAGTGTCATCTCCTCTATTGTTTATCTATGTACAGTTGTAAGT